CCATTATCTTTCTATTCATTGCTAGGAAGACTTCTTCTAGTATAAATAGTGGTGGTCTTCATTTGGTTTGGGAGATACAATACACACAAGAAAAATATAGAATGCATAAGTTTGTCAAAAAGATAGTTCTTATTAGTTGGAGGGAGGTGTTCTTTTTTGTGGAGCTTTGGACTCAACTCTTGTCCAGAGTTGTTGAGTTATATATTGTGATTAGGCTGTTGTATCCTGGAGGGGACAAGTCAAGAAGAACTACTGCTGGACCGGTGAAAACATTTGCTGCAGTGGGCTTGAATCTCCTTAAAGAGAGCGAGATATCCGCGCCTCAGCCTGAAGAGATTTATTTTCTTCATATTTATTTTCAATTATAATCTTGTATTTTTATTATCTTGTAAGTTTTTCACTAACAATTTTAAGGAGATTTAGTAATTGCTACAACTGAAAAAACCGCGGATGTCAAGATGGGAGACCTGAACAAGCCATTTCGGTTCAATGGTAACCATTTCAAAAGATGGAAGGTTAATGACACCTCCATGGATGATGATGAACTTATTTCTCATCATGAGAAAGTGGAAAAGTACGATGGTGAAAAGGCAAAGGGCCAAGATGCACTTTTCAAAAAAGAAGAGAGCAACATCACAACGAAGGTAAATTTAATTACTTCAAATAATGCTACTCTTGAAACTCACAAAAATACTTCTTTGAAGCCTAAGAAGAAAAAATTCAAGAAAAATAATGGTAGACCTTCCAAGAAAAATAATAGTGAAAATAACCAAGCACAAAATCAACAAGTTCAAGAATAAGGGGCCGTGCCTTGTTTGTGGCAAGAGTGGGGCATATTGTTCGATTTTTGCAGATTCCGGAAACGTGATCCTAACCCTCAGGCAAACGTTACCGAAGAATCTTTTGTGGCGGTAATTACCAGAACGGGAGATGTCGAATTGTGTTTTACCTCTGGAAGGATGTAAACTTTGAAAGGTGTACTTTATACTCCTTCCATGAGAAACAATTTGATGTCTAGTTTTCTTCTTAATAAAGCAGGCTTTAAACAGATTATTGAATCTGATCAATATGTAATAGTGAAGAAGGGTATTTTTGTGGGGAAAGGGTATGCATGTGATGGGATGTTCAAACTGAATGTTGAAATGAATAAAGTTTCTACTTCTGTTTATATGCTTTCTTCTATCAATTTTTGGCATGCTCGTTTGTGTCATATTAAATGATCGTTATGTTGGAATCATGAGTAGTTTAGGATTAATTCCAATGATTAAAAAGAATTTTGAAAAATGTGAGTCTTGTAGTAAAGCCAAAATCACTAAAAGGTTTCATTTTCAAGTTGAAAGAAAAACTGATTAATAGAATTAGTTCATACTGATATTTGTGAACTTGGTGGAATTTTAACTCATGGAGGTAATAGATATTTTATCACTTTCATTGATGATTTTTCTAAGTTTACATATGTTTACTTGATGAAAAATAAAAGTGATGCTTTTGAAAATTTCAAAACTTATCTCCTCAAAACTTATCTCCATGAAGTTGAAAATCAGTTTGGGAGAAAAATAAAAAGAATTAGAAGTAATAGAGGCCGTGAATATGAGTCAAATGAGTTTAATTCTTTTGTTAGATCATTGGGAATAATTCATGAAACTACTCCTCCTTACTCTCCTTCATCTAATGGAGTAGCGGAAAGGAAAAATAGAACTTTGGTTGAATTGACTAGTAGCGGAAAGGAAAAATAGAATTTTGGTTGAATTGACTAATACCATGCTTATTGAGTCACATGCATGCACCTTTAAATTTTTGGGGTGAAGCTATTTTAACTGCTTGTTATGTGTTGAATCGTGTGCCTCATAAAAAGTCTAAATTGACACCTTTTGAATTGTGGAAAGGTTACAAGCCAAGTTTGGGATATCTAAGAGTTTGGGGTTGTCTAGCCTCTGTGAGGCTAATGGATTCCAAGATTACAAAATTGAGTAAGAAAGTTACTACTTGTGCTTTTCTTGGTTACGCTTCAAATAGTACAGCCTATAGATTTTTTAATCTTGAAGATAATATTGTGATAGAATAAGGTAATGCTATTTTTCATGAAAATAAATTTCCTTTTGATTCTAAAAATAGTGGGGGTCAAAAGATTGAACAAAATATTTAATTTGTTAAAAGTTTGGAGTCAAATGGTGTCTTTGCTGTCAAGTTATCCGTTGGTGGTAATTCATTTGTCTTAACGGTTGGAAATATATTTGGAGCATTACTCCATTTGGAGTAAATACTGATGTTACTGACTGTTTCTCTTGCAGCATCATTTAGTGGCATCTTGGCCGTAAGTTCTCCATATTATTTCTCCATTATCTGACTCTTTATTCCTCCATTATACCTTTTAACATATGTAACTCGTAAGACCGTTATCTTCACTATTTACTACGCCATTATCTTTCTATTCATGGCTAGGAAGACTTCTTATAGTATAAATAGTGGTGGTCTTCATTTGGTTTGGGAGATACAATACACTCAAGAAAAATATAGAGTGCATAAAGTTTGTCAAAAAGAGAGTTCTTATTAGTTGGAGGGAGGTGTTCTTTTTTGTGGAGCTTTGGACTCAACTCTTGTCCAGAGTTGTTGAGTTATATATTGTGATTAGACTGTTGTATCCTGGAGGGGACAAGTTAAGAAGAACTATTGCTGGACCGGTGAAAACATTTGCTGCAGTGGGCTTGAATCTCCTTAAAGAGAGCGAGATATCCGCACCTCAGCCTGAAGAAATTTATTTTCTTCATATTTGTTTTCAATTATAATCTTGTATTTTTATTATCTTGTAAGTTTTTCACTAACAGATTTGAATCTACTGCCATTTTGAAAATTGTAAATGATAGTAACAAACTGGTGAAGTTGTAGTCTCAGTACTATTGTTGGGATCTACTTGCATTAAACGAGTAATGTCTTATACTCCATCCATCCACTATTGTTTGTCAGGTATACTAAAAATAGTTGTCCAAAATTATTTATCAATTTAAACAATCAAGAAATAATTAGTCACGTTTTTCCAATTCTGCCCTTAATAATTACATAAACTACTAGTTTCAAAAAGTTGTCATTTTAAAGTTACAAAACTACTTTAATGTGAAAAAAGTTATTTTTACTGTTTTCAAAAAGTACAAACCATTTTAATAATGATTGATAGTAGGGTTATATTAGTCAAATTGCACCTTATATTAAATTTTTCTTAAGGGTTGTAAGATGATCTTACCCTGACAAACAATAGCGGATGGAGGGAGTACATGTATTTAAGCTTTCAAGGAGCAATTATAAATTTTAATAAGTATTGCTCTTCAAGTCAAGTTTGTATTGGTTTTGTGAAATTATAAATATTTCTCTCCGTCCAATAATAGTTGTTCACTATTAATTTGGCACACTCCTTAAGAAACAATAAATAATAGGGGTATTCATATTACTATATTATCTTTTGATTTTATTAAATTTAATGCTTTGAAAAATGTGTTAAATAATAAATAATACTCTATTTAATAGCAAGGTTAAAATAGACACAAAAGATATATTATCTCTTGATTTTTTAAATAGAACAACTATTATTGAATAACTATTTTTGGTATAGTGAACAACTATTATTGAACGAAAAAAATATTAAGAAACATTTATTTTTAATGAGGACGTCATATAAATAGAAACAAGAGAGTAATGAACAATCGTAGCAAGACGTATTATTCATCTTACATTCTTTCTCATGTGAATAAAGGGTTCAAAAACATTCGAGTAAAGTGATTTCGCGGCATAAATTTAAATATTTAAGTAGTATAACTTTTTTTAATTCTCTAAGTCAAGTGCAACAAATATTTATGTTCAGTAAGTTATAATCACTGCTCTCTCCGTCCACTTTTAATTGTCATACACTTTTCAAAAGTCAATTTGACTAATTTTCAAAGTTAAATTAGATTACATTAATTTGATATTTTAAACAAAAAATTAAATATTTAAAAACTACACAAAAAGTACTATAAATTGCAATTTTTTTACATATCAATATGATGAAAAAATACATCGAAAAATGTTACTCAAAATTCTTATCGTTTGACTCTATAAAAAAAAAAAATGACAATTCAAAGTGATCGGATGGAGTAAATCTTAGCCACAAAATTTGGCCATAATGTCCTCTATGGAGTAAGATTGCTTGTTGACACTAGAAATGAATTTTATTTTTGTCAGTTCTAGCCTTCTCTTCTCTCATCAATTGAATTGTATTCCTTACATTTTTGTGGCACTTTTTGAATTTCGAAATTTAAACAAGTTTATCTTTGATCGTAATTTTTTCATACATCTTTTAAATATTTTGAATTGTCAATTATTGTGACTTATAGTACTTTTTACATAATTTATAAATATATAAATTTCATTTCAAAACTTTAAAAATTTCATGCGTAAATTGTCAATCAAACATAAAATATTTG